ACATAGAAAAATAAAATCCTCTCACAGATAAAGTACATATAACATCAAATGTTATTTATAAAGTAAAAATAATATAAAATGAAAGAAACATTCCATATGTCCAAATTTCCTTCTAGATTAATACAGGTCTCTGTTATAAACTTACCCCTCCCAGCTCTTTGAGGTCCTTTCCTAATTTTTCAGAGATCACATTGGATGGGATATCGAGGTAAAACACCTTCCCAGTGAGTGGCTTATATTTAAGTTTCTCTGGTTTTCCTGTATCCTTTTTCACATTCTTGAGAGAAGATCTTATCTTTTCTGGTTTTGCTTGTGTTCCATCTGCTGGGAAAAAAAGAGGCAATTTAAACAGAACTTTTTTTTTTTTTTTTTTTTTAAGGAAGATTCCTAAGTTATGGCAATGGACACGGCAAGCTTCCACAGAGCAATACAATGCTGCTTGGGTTGGAAGTGACCTAAGAGATCATTTGGTTTCAATCCTCTACCATACACAGGGACACCTTCTATGAGACCAGTTGCTTGAAGCCCTATCCAGCCTGGACTTTAACAGGACTTTTAAAAAACAGCTATTATGTTAAACATGTCAAAACCCAAACATTAATAATACCACCTCATATGGCCCTTAAAAGCTTCTCCTTAAAATAATATGCTCTAATGAGCTTTTAATTTCAGTTACTATACAATACTATCAATTTTCTCACCAGTTTGGCAAGTATTTGCTACCAAGACAATGAGGGCTGCTAAAGGAAGTGAGCAGGCCTCTTCTAAACACAAAAAACCAACATGCAAAACAGTCCCTCTATAAAGTTTTCTTTCCATCCCTGAAACACTCTCAGATAGGAAAGGGAGCAGCAGAACTACCACTCTTGCTGCAAGATTCTCTGTTTATGAACACACTAAGTGGGACAGGAACAGCAGTCAGCTTTGTTAGAACCTAGAAGACAAAAAACCCTAGAGAAACAGGAAAATAGGGAGGCATAAGCTGGTGTAACTGATCTGTAAACGCAAAAAAAGGACGATAAGCAGGTGTGCAAGCAAAATTCTGTAGATGAGCAGGGCAGTTCAAAAATTAACACGTTAAACACTATTAACACTGGAGCATGCATTTAAAACTTCTCGGGGACGATGGAAAGTTCGGAGCGGCTTAGCAGGCCCGCAGTAACAATGAGGAGCCTCCCCCGCAGAGCGGCCGCGCTCTCACCCCGCGGGCCCAGCGAGCCTCGGGTGCTCCCGGCGCCAGCCAAGGCCTGCCCGGGGAGGGGGGGCGGCTCGCACGGCAGCGGCCCGGCCATTCCATAGACACCCCACGGCCTCCCTGCCCCGCGGTTATCTTACAAAAGAGAACGAGTCAGCGCCAAGGCCACGCTTTTCCGTTTAACTCCCCAAACCCCGACAAAGCCATAGCCGGGAAGGCCGCCCCGGCCCCAGCTGAACGGCCCCCGCTGGCGCTGGGAGAGGCCTGAGCCCCCCCGGCCGCCCCCAGACCCCGCCGCTTACGGGGACGAGCTGCTCTGTCGGCGGCCTCGGCAGCGCTCGGCTTCATCTTCCCGCGGAGTCACATCCTCCCCTGCCCCGCGGCCGCCGCCACCTGCGGGAGCAGCGCGGGCTGCCCGGACCCCCTCAGCGCCCTTCCCGCCTCCGCCGGGCCCGGAGCTGCCACCGCCAACGGCCGGGCCGGGGCGGAGCGAGGGGAGGGCGGAAGGAGGGAAGGGAAAGAAGGAGGCTCTGGGACAGGAGGTTGGCAGCCGTGAGTGGTGAGGCGGGACAGGAGCAGGAGCCCCTTCCCTCTTCGCCTCCTCTGAGGGGCGTTGTTGAAATCGCGGGGAGCTCTGCCTGCGGCGAGCGCGGCCCGGACGCTGCTCGTAAACGGGTATGTATGTGCGCTGCTCTGGGCAGTGGGCTTCTAAGTTAAAAATACACTAAGAAAGCCAGTTTCTTCCCCGCCCACACCCCTCTTTAATAGTTGCTAGCACCTGAGAGATAAGTCTTATTTTATGCAGGTTCAGCTTTCTTATCTTTCACTTGAAACTTGGTGAAAACGACATGACATTATGTTCCTGTAGAGCAGATAAAAAGCTTAGATCAGTATCAGCTAATAAAGCTAGGGCTACACTTATGCACAACGTATATTTTGGAAGATATGTCTTTATTTGGGGATTTTGTATTGTGAAATACTTTTTTTTATTACTATTCTCTTCTGCCCTGGCTAGTTGCAGATACTGTGAGTACTTTCCTAAATTGTTGCGACCGTGACTTTGCGGCCATACAGCAGGATTTAAGGAATTAATATTTGATAGTAGCATTAATGCTAGTTAGTCGCTGTTTCTTACATGAATAGCTTGCCAGAGTATATAGTCATGACCAGCAGGCTGAGAGTGCTGGCTCAACCAGGAGACCTTTCTGGATTTTCTCACAGGAGTGACGGGAGCAAGAGAAGGGCTGGATGAATTACTCTGCAGTGCTACAGTTTATGGGCCGTAGACTGGGAATCTGTGTGGATTATTGACATGTTCCTAAACACTTCGTTGCAGCAAAAGGTAATAAGTGTTAAAAATTTAATGTGTTTTACAAGAACATATAAATGTTGGAGTTCATGTAAGAAGGATTTTAAAAAATTTATTGTCTTTAGAAAACTTACTTAAAAAGCAGGGCTTAAATATTCTAATCTCAGAAATTCTTGAGATGCTTTTATACAGGTAGAAAACTAATACTGCTGCCTATGCATAGCACATTAATGAAAATTTATGATATTTTTTCCCTTGATTTTTTTTTCTGCAAGTTTTGAGCGTAGTCTTGCAATATGTTTTTCTGTTCCTTAACAGGTTTTTCTTCTCCAGAGATACAGCCATGGCTGAAATGAGTGACAGCAACTTAGAAAAACCAACCATTATTCAGCAAGTAATGGCCTCTTGTTGTGGAGCTATAATTACATCATTACTTGGTAAGGCAAACTATCAAGCTTGCCACAGAGAGAATCTTTACAAGTGATTACTCTTCAGTTTGACTCATCGTGATGTCTGCATATTTCCACTAATATGTTCAGCAAGGATGTTTTTGGATAGTTTTTTTGTGTGTGTTTTAAAAAGTGTGGTTAGTTGAAATCTTCTTTATCCCTAGTAATCTTTAACCATTTCTGAAACTATGAATAATGTTTAACAACCTTTAATTTTTATTTCTTTTTTTTCTCTTGGTGTAGTTATTAATTGCTTTCTGTCTAGAAGAAACAAAATTATAATTATAAATTATAATAAAAATTAATTTCCATCCTTCCTTCTGCTTAAAAATATATACTAAATAAAATATATTTTATTTATTTTATATTACAAGACACAAATCCTTCATGTTACCACTTCAGCAGTAAGAATTTATGCTGCTGTGATATCTTACATTGTCAAAGCCTTTTCTTGTTGGTTTTTGTTTGGTTTTGTTTTTTTTCTCCAAACATTGCTTTTAATAATAGCTTTTTATTGCTCTTTTAAACTGCTGTGTAGCTGGTGGAATTAGTTCTCTGCTTCATGTTCAGTCATCTCATTGAGGACCTCCTTCCCCGGGCAAACCTAAGGAGTCATTGTTTGCTTAGATTCAGTGCTTCCTGTCTCTTGACATTCCCCCAGCTCATTAGCTCAGACTCTGTATTCCTGTTACTTTTAGTCTGAAGAAAGCATTCACTTCTGACTTTTAATGTGGATTAAGCTACAGACAAACATGCAATTTTCTAAGCACGATTTCTCCCCCCACAAATTTCCAAATGTTTACAAAATACTATCGTACCGGGAACCTTTCAAATTCATTTTTGTTCTGTCTTTATACCACCTGTCCTGTGACGTTAGGTAAAGTACCAAGCAAAGCTACATCAGAGCTGTGGAATTCCCAAGGTGGATTTCAATTGTGGGTACATACACACAATTCTAGTACAGTGTAAGGTGCTGGTATTCGAGAGAGATACAGGAGAGGTATAGGAGACCAACTCCATCCTGAAGTGCCTCCTGGTGACAAGCAAAAATATCTGTGAGTGGCTAAAATGCTACTGGATGGACAACTTTTAAGCAACTTGGTGAGCTGCAGCAGTAACATTGAGATCCCTACATTCAGATACTGAAATGTGAGCCAAGTATCCACCACCTGTTAGTGAACTGAGAGGCATCAATGGAGAGCTAAGGTGTAACTCCACTGCCTGTGCACAGGAATGTTTCAGTGAGATGTGTGCTGGTGTGTTTGACTTAGACTTTAGCGGTCACTTGGTAAGTAAGGTTGGAGGTCCTGTGTCATTTTTGTCGACTGTGTGTAGGTATTTTGGATACCTTAGAGACTCAGATGGCACTGGCTGCTTGTATGCAGGCAACGGAATTGAGCCCTCAGTCAAGATAAGAAGAATCTGGTTCAGCTGCCCAGCCACTGTGGAGTTCAGCATGTCTAGGCCTGTAAAAATTGTAAGGGCTGGAGTGGAAGCAATGAAATGTTCACTAAACCTTCATTTATTTATCAACAGCCTCAGTCTTCTAAATATTGTCTACATGCAGAAAAAAAGAAAAGTACTTCATGAGTTTAACATTTTTCTTTTGAATGTTGCTGTTACGGTCAGTTTATCGAAAAAGAATAAATGAAGAATGCTGTGTTATTTTACATGCTGGAGTCCAAAATCTGATCTCATATGCCTTGTGGTATGCTACTTATAAAAGTTTAGCAGCACAGCATAAGGTAATAAGTTTTAGCAATTTCAGACAAGATGACACAAGATGAGCTTTGTGTATCTCTAACATTTGATGCCTGTGCAACTGTTAGTACATTAAAAAATATGTATTTGGTTGCTTGCAAACTATACAGAATTTATAGTTCTCCTTTGCCTCTGTCTGATAACACCTCCTTTTCCTCTACCTGGTAACATTGTAAAACTCTTTTTTTCCTCTGGCAAAAAAAAAAAAAAAAGTTAGAAGTTAATGATAAGGCATCTATACACTTCTGCATTTTCAGGCCGTGCAGGGTGTTTCTAAATGACTTCTGTTTCATTTTAGTATCTCCTCTTGATGTTATCAAAACTCGGCTGCAAGCCCAAAGCAATCCATTCCCTAAAGGTAAACAATACCTAGTGTGACTGGGGACACAGTTTGCTTTTTGCTGGTGTATTTAGCAGATAGTTGTCATAATGCTTTGCTCAGGTGCTTAATGTTTGTGTCTGTTTCACAACAGTGAGTTTGTTTCTGCAGTATAAGAGGGTGGGAAAAAAGCAACACATATACTGGTAAACACATATATTGGTAAAGAAAGAATGTGCCAGTGAACAGTGGAGATACCTAAGATTTTAAACAGCCCTTTTTTCCCGTCTTTCTTAATATTTTCATTACGGCAGAAGGTACAACTAATAATGAGTGGAGTTGAAAAATAAAAAACTATTAATAAATAAGTAAATATTATATCAGAAGGCTTATGTGGTCAGGATGCTATATCAAAGTTTATCTTCTCCAGAATCTAGAGATTTTGAAATACAGAAGTTACTTGCCAACTGGGTTTTGAATACATGAAGACATTGTGCTCTCAAAAATGTGGTTTTGGTTCCTACTGTTTACTTGTATGTGATAAATGAAATTTAAAAGGCAAAGATGACTAGTGTTGCATGTTGAATGTTGAGGTGAATATTTGTAGTCGCACTTGCTGTAAATTAGGAAAAATACTTGTACCTTCTATCCTGATTTTTAGTAAATTCTAAAGCCAGAAATCTGAAAATGTGAGGCTCAAAGTATGTTTTTGTAATGGCAATACTATTTTATCAAACAGTTTCTAAGTACATGAGGCAGGAGAAATAAAAAACCAAGTAGAGAGGATGATCTAGTCCAGCCTAAGATATAATAATGATACAGTCCAGCCGAAGATATAATACTTCCACTTGTAATGTGGATGCTTCGGCTATTTAATAAAAATCCTGAAGTCTGAAACACATTCACAGTTAGATACAATAGTGACATTCAGGTCTTCTGCTGCTTTTCGCCTTCAGCAGATGGTAGTATAACATAAATGTGTCCTGGAGCCTTATGGAGGCAGTTCCATTTAGTTTGGCACTCTGGGGAGTACATTTGTGCCCTCTTTCCTTCTACCTAATTTGTTGTTACTGACTGAGATTATTTTTTCCCTCTGTGTCTAACCAGAGATAAATCTGTATTGCTGTGATATCCAATTTGAAATTGCTGCTGTGTAAGAATGATCTTGTGAGCATTAACTCTATTCTTATACACCATTTTATTAGGAAAATGTTTTGTATACTCTAGTGGCCTTATGGACCATATATGTGTTTGTGAAAATGGGGACAGCAAAGCCTGGTATAAAAAACCTGGGAATTTCAAAGGGACGTTGGTAAGAACATTTTACATGTATATAAACCCATAAATCTTTAAGCAGCATACTGTAAAGTTATTTGGGGTTTTTTGGGTTCTTCTGGAATCTGTTATTATTCTAGAGGATCTTCCTGTGGTTACACTGTGTAATTTATATGGTGATTAGCGATACCTTCTTCTTTCTGTAATAAAATATGTATTCCTTCCTTAAGATGAACAAGGATGCTCAAATTTCCTCACAGATTACTGGCTCTATGATTTTATTTTCCCCACTTGAGCTGTATTGCCAATAGTTGCTGATTGCAGGTAATGATTGTCTGTTACCTGCTCTCACTCTTCCGTGTCCCAGTATGCTCCTGAGCTGAAGTAACAATGCAGATAGTGTTTTAAAGTTAATTTCATGAGTCAAGTTCTCTATCCATTGAAATTTGTAGGACTAGTATGTTCCCAGATACTTGAAACAGACTTACTGTCAGACGCTGTCCTGCTGGCTCATTAATCAAGATTTTGTGTGGCTCTGCCATTAAATTAAACCAGAATTAAATTTCTGAAAATGAGATGTTAGTGCAAAAGGTGTCTCAGCAGTTCTACAGTGGAGGTTTTTTTTAATTATTAACTTCACAAGTGTGATATTTTTTTCAATTAACTTTACTATATAATTTTAGAAAGTCAGTTTTCTACTTGACATGAATTTATGCTCATTTTTGCTGGAAGAATTACTATAATATCATTGATCTCTTTTTTTATTAAAATGGGTCCACTCTTTTAGCTATACCTTCCTGTTTTGTAAATTTGTTGAAGCTGGATTATAAGCATTTTAACTAACTAGTATAGAAGTTGGGAGTTCTTTTGTCTAACCACAGTAGGACTTTTTAGGGATTCATTCCAAGTTCTATTTTTACTAGGCAGGTTTGTTTTAATAAATTATGTCTTTGTTTTCCCCATTCAATTTTTTTTATCTCAGTGGATTAATTCATCAAGTCTCCTGTAAAGACTTTTCTTCCTGTAAGTCCTTTTTGTGGTCTGTCAGACTCTCTATATTTTGAGGCCCTGTGATAATGTGTGGTCTTAAGCATATTCTAATCCATCAAATCTCAACCTTTTCCCCGAAAAGTTTAAGAAAATCAAGTATCCTAATATTAGAGAGTTTATCTTTTTAATGGTGCTTTCAGGCCATCTGGGAATATATTGGACAGCTGTAATAGTAGTTGCAAGCTTCCAAGTATAGAGTATAGTGTATATACATTTCATGTATGTTGTCACTTTTTTGTCAGAGAAAGCAAGTACTGAAGAGTCATTGAGAATTAATTGGTATTTCATGCCTAGAATCTTTGTTATGTATTGGAAAAATATTTTAGTTGTTATTTTGGGGAAGTTTCCACAAGTTGCATCAGTGCCATATTAGTTCTGAAAATAACTTCTTCACAGGGCTGTCAGTCACTGATAAACACTTACTACTTTGGTCTTTTAAAGGTGGAAGAAAATTCTTAATTTCAATCACACAAATTATTCTGTTCAGCTCAGTGGAACTATTTGCATGATTAAATATGATAGCTAGTGTAAGCTATTTTACAATGATAAGCCATTTTAGAAACATACTTTTAAAGATATTAATTTTGTGTTCTGCCAGCTGAAATATATTACTGACTACAAAAGTTTGCAGCTAATTGTTTCTCTTTGCTGGTTATACTTTTAGGATGCATTTGTGAAAATTATTCGAATAGAGGGAATTAAGTCACTGTGGAGTGGGCTTCCCCCAACATTGTAAGTTGAATGTTCTGTTTTTGGTAACATGAGTTATTGTTAAAAAACCTGTTTAATTATTTAGATAAATTATTATGTATATTTTTAAGTTATTTTCAAAATTCAGTCAATTCTGAAGTTACGGAGCAATCAGTTCAATCAGAAACATCTAGGGACAGTATAATTTTTGCCAGATCTCCAGATTTTTCTGATATTTTCTCAGTAATTAAGCTGGAACATTAGAATTCTCACTGTGCCTTTTAGAGGTGGTATCATAATTGTTCCTTTGACAATGGAAAGTGACCACTAGAGAATGACAGTTTTTGACAAATACTTACTGGTCTATCTTGTTACTATTGACTTTCCATCAGCAGCACAGCTGTTTCCAGATGCTCTGGTGTTGCACCTCATTACCCTCATTTAATTCTTGTAACCATCATCTTTATTTCAAAGGACTTTGTTGGGGTTTTTATCTTATCTCACTTTGCAGTGGAAAACAGACAATTCGTTTTTTCTCTACATATTATTCATGTTAACCTGGTACAGATAGAAATTAAGACCTCTATAATTATGTCGTCCTCCATAAACCAAGAAAGTAATCAAATCTAAGATTTATGTTGCATCTTGTAAGTCATGAAGTGTGGCATAGAAGGAAAGCAGTGGTTCACGTATTTTTGGTTTGCAGACAGTGCTCAGTGTATAGACACAAGAAAGAAAAGCATGGTGGAGCTCAGCCTAGTTATTTATCCTGCAGTATGCAGCAATTTAGAAATATAAACCTTTAGGACCTGACTGAACTGTTTAAATCAATACAGTTTTTTATTCAACTTGTGTTCTGAACTCCAGCAGAAAACTAGCCTCCTGATTGGAGAGAGGTATGCAGTTTTTAAGGGATTTAAACTATAGCTTGTTAGTTTTCCAAGCATAACAGTCCGCAGTGTTTTTTAATAATGGTGGTGCTTGCTACATTGGTGCAGACATGACACCAAAATGTAATTGCCATTTTATAGTAAGATATGGTGCTTTATCCCTACACTGAATGATTATTAGATCTAGCTGTTGCTATTATACTCTGTACAGTGCTGGAATGGAAAAAGCTTGTATTTATGAATACCACATTGTCTCTCAAGTAGTGAGAATCATAACTGTTGATTAAGATCAATATTCTCCAATTGTTAAATAAATAAAAATTTATTGTTAGTTGCATTTCTGTAATGTTTTGTTTGATTTCTTTGTATTCAGATCTTTCACTTCCATTTCTTTATCAAAATAGTTCTGAAGCTGATGTGAAATAAATTTTGGCTAGGATAATTCACCATCATTTTACTTATAGTTTTCCCTAATGAAGTGAAAACCTGGGAAATCTGTGGATTGAAACTCTGAACTAGGGGCAGTGAATCAAAGCCACAGGATTTATGCTTTTTTTCTTCATTCATAACTCACAGCTGGAAATTTAACTTTTTTTTTAATGTATGTAAAATATCCATATGTGACAGTTACCTTTAATCTCCTGCTTTCCTTGTATTAATTTATCTCTTATATTTTAGAATAATGGCAGTTCCTAACACAATAATCTATTTTACACTCTATGACCAACTGCATGAAGCTTTGAAATACAGACTGGAAAAGGATGATGGATACATTCCAGTTCTTGCAGGTTCCTTAAGCAGATGTAAGTTGTCACCTGTTTAAAGAGAAAACTAAAATACAATACCTGTATGCTGTTTTCTTGGGTTTGTTTTGTTGATTTTTAAATAAAGTAAGTTATCTCTTTCTTTAAATGAGGGATAGGAAGGAATACTGTAATTACCCAGTACTTCTTGGGCAACAAAACTCTCTAACTCGGAATAAAGTGATTTTTTTTTTGCTGTTACACTCTTACTACATTTGTAATTTGGTCAAAATTTTATATTTGTATTTCTAGACTTCTACCAAGTACAGTTTAAGTCTGTTATGTCATGAATCTAGCAATAAACATCATTGTTTTCTATAAAGGCAGCTACACAGGTATTTATAAGGAAAATGAGAATTGGACTTCTTTTAGAATTGGACTGGTTTTACTGTGGACTGAATTTGCTCTTATATTTTCTTACTAACCTTTTCCTCATCCATTTTTGTAGAAGTAACAGAGATCATATATTTTAGGGCTTTCTTAGAAGAGTCTGATGATGTAGTTCCGTATTGTACTTGTGACAACCATGGGGACATTGGAAGACTGGTTGAAAAAGTATTGCTGCTCAGTGGTGGTGTGGCAAATTGCTCTTATTAGGATGTTTCAGATTTTAAATGCACATGTTAAACCTTATCCCAGCAACAGAAGAAAAATTCTTGGATCTAGTAAAATTGTTAATGTCTATTACATGTGTGATGGGAGCTTGTTATTGATTGAATCATGACTCACTGACCATTGTGCAAGCTGAAAGAGAGTCACTTTATCAGATACAGATTGCCTGCTAATTATTCTTGAGAGTTTAAAATAAGAATGACAGGGGTGCTTAGAAATCAATAAAACCCAATCTCTAGCAACTATTTTTGTCCTTAACACAAAAAAAACCTTAAACCCCAAGCTCACTTTCTTCAAGTTACACTTTGAAATGGCAATTATTGAAAATTAATGTTTAGAAGTACTTGAAATTTGCAGCCTGTTTATGTATTTAATCTGAAAACGAGGATTCTTAACATATTACATTGATTACAAGAGGCCAGTATTGAAAAAAAACATAAACCGGAAAGTGTAGGTACTGTGAATAGGTGCGGTGCTCTTATTGGGAAGGAAACTCATTTTGGAAAGGAAAACAGAAAAAGGAAAATCAGAGAGTTGAAAAGAATCAAATATATAAGCAAGGTGTGATGTGACTTCACTATTAAATGCTGATTTGAAAAAAAGTGTTTTCCTCATTTGCAGTCAGTTCTATCACTGTGGTGAGTCCCCTGGAGCTGATCAGAACTAGAATGCAGCATCGCAGGTTGTCCTACAAGCAGCTGTACCTGTGTGTCAGCACTAAAGTGGCTGCTGATGGGTGGTTTTCACTGTGGAAAGGCTGGAGTTCTACTGTCCTGAGAGATATACCTTTCTCAGGTAGGGTTTATTTTCCATGCAGGCTTTTTGTTATGTCAGAAGATATGTTTTTGCGTAACTATTTTAGTCTATTTCTGTGCTTTTCTGTAATTTTAATATTTAGGTTTAGGAATTACTGAGATTGATTCGTTCTCTTTTGAGTGCTTTTATTTATAAATTTGCTGAGGACTTGATTTTTTTCCCCCCATTTTGAACCTGATAGGGCTCATTGTTACATTCCCTTTCTCTATTCTTAGCCTGTTACTTCTCATCTTTAGCTTACACAATGACTGTTTTGAAGTCTTTGAGTAGGAAATTTTCTTTGTGATAGATATAGTGGCTATTTTCTGATAAATATGCTGTATGTAAGTGTCCTGTAACTTAATTTTGAAAACGTACAGAGAGTGACACAGTAATGTCTTCAGGATTTTTTTGAATCAAGATTAATTAGTTTCTATAACTGCTTCTGAAATCATGAAGGTAGAGCACCACTCATAAGCAAAGCTCCAATGCTGAAAGCCTAGAAGAAAAAAAGTCTGATTCAGAGCATAACTAGTCCTGGGGCTCTCCTTAAGATAGAGGGGACAGATGTTACAGGGGAGACTGCTAATGGACCTGTTAATGCCAGTGGTAAAAGCCCCCGTCTCTTTGAGGCCTGCTTTTGTCAGAGCACTTGTGGATCAGACATCAGTTGTCTTCAAAGCTGTTTCTGGCATTTGGGTAGTAGCAGGAATAACACCTTCGAAAGCCATATGTTACCCCAGAAAAATTCTTCTAACCTGTTTTTGAAGTCAGAGAACCCTTGAAATATTTGACCAGCTGTCTTTGTTCTCCTAGTTCACTCTTAAGATAGTTTGACATTTAATTTCATTTGTGTTTCCAAGCAATCTAGTGGACCAGTTGTTGGCTTGGACTGTTATGGGATTTGAGCACACCTGGATGTGTACCTGGAGTATATTTTTAATTGGTTTAATTTGGTAAACCAAAACAAGACATGATAAGTGGGGGGTGGTTATGATATTTAGTTAAAAACTGCAGTTGTCAATTCAGGGAGTAAACTGAATTATTTAAGCTGTATTCTTTTCAAAATGTATAATACTCATGTTTTCTTTCACTTAGCTATTGGGAGGTGATTGGAAATCATGGTTGGAATGTATTTCCTTTTTAAGGATCCGGTTCCTTGATAGGGCTTAATTTAGCCTTCTCTGGTAGGGAAGGCTTCTGAACCTACAACTCTCAAATTCTTCATCTAATCCCTGTTGTCTGACTTCAGGTAGAAACTCTTGTTCTCTTACTGATTTTCGTCTGTAGCAGTGTGGCTGGAACTTCCTTCCCTCTGCTGCTTTTAACAGAGCACTGTGAGGGAGTGCACAAGGAAGAGAGCACTAGGGTGATGTGTGTGTTCTTTTCAGGCCTTTTCAGATTCTTGTGTCCATGCCTGCTGTTCCTCCACTATCGAAAACATGCTCGTTTACTGTAAGTCAGTCTTGACACTGCTCTGGCATTCACTTCACAGCCAGTGGGCACTTGTCTGTTCCCAGTAATTCATGGGTATCATGGGATGCTGGAAAGGCAGAGGCACAAGTTAACAGGCAGCTACTGCCTTATAACTTGACAACTACTGTTGAAGAGCCAAAAGTGAGCAGGCAAGTAGATCCATGAGTAAAGGAAAATGTATTTTAAAAAACTTAAATGCCACAAAACTCTGATTATATAAAGGTAAGGGTGTTAATTGCTGCCTAATGTCTCTCTCAAAAGTGTTTTCTGATAATTTTTTTTCTTATAAATACTCTTTATCTGTTATGATGAGCTCCCTTAGTACATTCAATCTTTGCTGCAGGCAGCTCAAGTTAGCTATCTCAAGAATTAAAATCAGTGTAACAATTTGTATTGAAAAAGCCACAGCTCTGTGAAAACAGTCAAGCAGTACAGCATGACTTAAATAGCACAGGGTAATTAGAATCCCACTGTATTCAAGCCCAAGTGTTCATGATATGCTTCAAGCACGTTCCTTGGGATGCCAGCTGGACTGAATAAAACTTGAGCTGTGAATCTTTATAAATACAAAAACTGGGTTAACAATAATACTTGAGTCATTCTTTAAGTAGTGTGGCAGACAATGTAAATATAAAAGTTATTCAGGGAAATGAGTCCTGTAAGCACTTAAGCAAAGTTTTGGACTTAGTTAATTTATATGAAATTAGGGTTTTGTACATTTCAGTAGTGGGTTTTCCTCAAACCCTGAGAATGCCTTCTGAGATACTACCTACTTTTGCTTTTGCAAAATGTTTGAGGCCAGGCACATGTTCTGGCAGTCTTCACAGCAAGAAAATACTTAGATATTTTTCTACTGGCACAGCTTTCAGAGGTCAGTGCTAAACAAGGCACAGTTACCTTTCAGGATGTGCAGCCATCATTTGAAGCATTAACTTGACCAGCTGCCATCAGGATTTACTCTGTAATTGAACCTGGTAGCATATAGCTTGGAGTTTTAGTTAGAAAGAAGAAAGAGTGTAGTTTAATTCAGCAGACAGTCACAGAAACAGATGTTGTTCCTAAAAGTTGTTTGCCAGACTTGTCTTCGACAGTCTTCACAAAGGCATTCTCTTAGTAATTCCATGGAGCAAATTGTACTTTTTGGTTCTCTCAGGATTAAATTTTACACTCTGACCCTCAGAAAAGTATGAAGCAGTCCTGAGCAACCTTTCATTTTGCATGAAACACATTTTTATAGAATTAGTGAGATTGATGAAACGTGAAATATGCCTGAAAACATAGTGAATAATAAGCCTATACTTTAACTTACGTTAAATTGAATGAGAGTTTTGTAGTGCTTGGCTTAGATTGTATTAAGATAGGGTTTACTTGCGGTAATGACAATGATTAGGCTAATTTGTGTTATATGAAGAAATTTGGGATATGGAGATAAGGGGAACAGGGCAATCTGTCCATGGGTTAGCACAGAGGACACTTACTATGCTTTCAAGTTTTGTTTCTTTTGGCTTCTGTTGCCACAGTAGAATTCTTACATCTGTACTTGATGAAAGAATTTTTATATTTGACATAAAAATCTGTTGTAATGCAAGTTTATTTTTTTGTAATCATAGCGATGTACTGGTATAATTATGAACGTTTCAAGAAGATGATGTGCAACAAAGTTGGTGCACATGAACCTACATTTTTTATTGCTTTTACTTCAGGAGCAGCATCTGGCTCTGTAAGTTTATAATTTCATTTCTAGTACTACTCATTATTATCAGTAATAAACTATTTAAAAGAGGTATGATTTTCGGTGATTCTCTCAGAAATGTATGTTTTGGGGTACGTGTACTTTAAAGAGTGGCCTGGCATTCAAACTGATTAGATAAATCAATTAGTGTTCTGACATACAGGACTAAATACTATCATGTCTTTGGAATATGGAATCTGGATTTCAGTTGTGTGCACTTTAATTTAAAAATTCAAATTAAATTTTGTTTGTGCACTAACATTAAAATTGTTTTCTTTTCCTGATAGATTTCAGCTGTCATAACTCAGCCATTTGATGTAGTGAAAACACATAAACAGACTGCACTTTGGGAGAGTGAGACCTTAGAAAGTAAGTTGCTGATAAGAATAAAAAAACCTATAAGGTTTGGAAAAATTAGTGTTTCTGAAAACTTACTGTTGGGGTATATAGACTTTTGGTAGGAACTTTTTGTCTCTTAAGTTTATCTAAAAATTCTATCACTCAGGCCTTTTTTCTCCTCCAAATTGTAATATCTTGTGAGATACTTTTTATGTCCTAGGACAATACAATATTTCATTAATGGCATGGAAGAGGGAAGAGGTGTGAGTTCAGTACAATTAACTTAAAAAGATGGTATAAAATTGAAACAAATAAATTCAAAAGTGTTCCATTTAGGCAGACCAATTGCAAATTTAAGATGTCCCTGCTTTTTGCAGGGAGGTTGGACCAGATGACCTTTAAAGGTTCCGTCCAACCCAATCATATTGTATGACTGAAGTAAGTTATATTTAAATAGGCAAAAATTAACCTCTTATAAAACATTCAGGTGAACAGTGATCTATTGAAAAAGACTTTACAATAACGTGATAAAATGTTTGCACATTCACTACCACTTGCTCCTTCATAACAATATTCTTTTGATAAATATTAGCCTGGAGAAAGAAAGTGCTGTGCTCAGGTTGTGTATTTTTTACCTTCTTTTCACGTGATTTCAAAAGAATTATTTTTGAGGGCATATTAGTGAATGTCGTAACATCTTTAAAAGATGAAAGGGGAAGTTTCTATTTTGTTCCTTCAGTAGAGCACTGCTGTGCTTTATATGAGTTTGAGTTGTATATAAAAATTTCTTTTCCATTGCTTGAGACCTGCACCAGTGAGGGACTTTGACTAACTTAAACAAATGTTAGATCGTGACTTTAGGATTACAGACCATTAAAAGGGCTGAGCACTCATTTCCGCTTAGAAACTAAGTGCTCACTTTTTGGTATGAGGTTTTATTCTCTCAGGTAAATTATTTTTTTCTAGTGTAATTCTTGCAAAAAACACATCAATGTTTCATTGCAGAACAGAAAAATATCAAAAAAGCTTTAATTATAAATATTTATTGTGATTCAGTCTTTTTCTTTTGCTGATGAATGTAAGAATTCATTGCTAACACCACTTTGAAACACGTGTGGTTGCCATATATTTATTAGGTTGATATAAACCAGATTAATATAAATTCAAAATTTCATTATGGTTATCTTCAATTTGTACCAGTTGAATTCTTTCCAAATCCAGTTACTCTTAGAGTTGGACACTGACTATGCATCTACATATTGTCTCTCTGTGGCTGCAAAAATATTTTGCAGTTTCTAAATGCTGTGGGATGTTCCTGATGAATGTATTCTATGACACTGCTTTAACTTTCATCTAGAAAAAAAATTTCTTGGCCACTTTCATTTTTCAAATCAAAGAAAACAGTACATGAAATAGCACAGAAAATTTCCTTTGTTTAAAATAATTGCATATGTCTGGAATGCAGATTGCTTCTGGATGCTGCTGCTGTTAGCTTGCTTGTGGTAAGTGATTTAGCTCTACAAGGGACTTCAATCCACATCTCTTAGAGCTATACTTTCTTAAACATAAATTTAGGGGAGATTTGATTTTTGTAAACTTAGATGTAATGTGTAGTGTCCTAGCTTAATTATTATGTTCAATCTATTATTCATTTTTATGATATCAATTCTCAAAACTTACTTTTGGATTCAGTTTAGCAGAAAAGCAAGTTCTTATTTAAAAGTCTGAATTGTGATAATCTTTTAGCTGCATATGTGAAGTGTCATGGAGAGGGAATGGCTCATTTGAAAGCTAGTTGACTTTTTTCACTGGATTTGTATTCTTGCAAGGAATATTGTATCTGTTCATATATCTTACTCCAGGTGTTTCTACAAGTTTTTCCATTTCATGCTGTTTTAACTTGTGTATTTGCATACTGTATGGATTTAATATCCTGTATAAATAAGATGGATAAAACTAACAGAAAAGGAAGTAAACCTAACAATTGCATCTGTGACTCTCTCTGATTTAAAAAAATATTCTTGTGTGGCAGTGTATGGATTCCATGATTCACTGTTGTCTTGTACTATATTAAGTTCCACAGAGGGAATCTACATCAACCTGGGCAGTTATGAGGAAAATTGTCGCTAGCAATGGGATTACTGGATTATTTGCTGGTAAATCGTTTCATATCTCTAAAAAAAAAAATCGGACTAGAGAGTTTCTTAATCATTACCAAGTGATTACAGGTGTTAACATGCATAAATTGTATAATATTTCCCCTTCCGTGAACATTGTCAGTTATGGAATAGTTTGCATATATAAAGCAACAGACATGCATATATCCAGAGAGAATTTTGGTAATCTCTTAACAAGTTACTAAGATATAGCTGTTCAAGATGGATACAATTTATTTTAAGCAGAGGGGCTGGGCTTGACAAATATGTCTGTATTGGCAATGAAATGTGGTGCTAAAAGATTCAGTTCAGAAAGTATTTTTTTTTTCAAATTTAAAAAAAATACTGATTTCTTAAGCTTTTATTGATTTCTTAGGTTTTTCAGAAAGAATTGGTGCAAAGAAAAATTAATGGATTGTAGGTTTGGAACCAACAGGATAGAGGTTTTTCTAGGCTGAGAAAGTTTCTTACATGCAGTTTTCAGTCCAGTGCTAAAAATCTCAAAGCAGACATTACTGTTGTGGCATCTGTATTTAGGAATAGCCATCCTAACTTTTGTTCTTCATCTCCTAGTTGTTTCTGTACTCAACTGTTTTGGCTCTTTCTGTCTCAGAAACAGAGTTTAGGCTTCAGGGGTATTTTTTTGTCTCACTTCTTAGTCTTTCAAGAAGATGCATTATTGGGAACCCAAAAAGTCTGAAAATGGAATAGGTATTTTGAAGAATTTATAGAATAAAATACTATTATTGGCTTGTGGAATACTAGGCTCAGGATAGATTCCATCTATCCTAAATGATTCTTCGATACTGTCCTACGATGCATTCAGTTGAAGTCCAACTTCAACACAGTTTTTTACAGAGAACTGGAAGATTTGACAATTATATTAGTCTTTATTTGTTTGCTAGATGGGAGTAATTATGTTGAATACTGTATAATATTTAGGACATTCAAGGTCATGCAACAACCATTCCCCAAAAATTTTTTTCCTCTAAATATTCTGGCAAACTAGAAGCTTTATTTAAGATATTTGTTAAATTTTTATGTTTAAACAGAGGGAGAAATGCAGTCTTGATGATATACTGAGTTAATAAGTTAATAACTAACGAGTTAATAGTTAAATTTTCCTTGTATTTTCTTTCATCACTACTCCTCTGAGTGCACCCATCTTACATGACTTTCTTACTCTCACTGATCCTATCAAGGTTCTGCATAGTTCACTTTGTAGCTGGTACTGTTTTAGTTTCTCTGAGCCATTCAGTAAGACGTGATCAGGTCACTGTGAACACCCCATTTAGCTGTGTAATTCCTTGATGTATTTTATTTTTCTTCTTGCAGGGACTGTCCTAAAGACTGCCTTTTAGTAGTTTTGATAGCTGTGACAAAGATAATTTTTTAGCACTGGAATATGTGCTGATCAGCATAGATGTATCCCTGACCATCCTAAGATATCTTTGCCATTTAAACACTGCATATTTAAAGAACAGAAAATAAACCCTCAGGAATACTTTTCGATGTGTTTTACAAATCCTGGCAACTGTGAGAACTGCCTAATGACCTAATTCTTGGTACTAACTCAAACCCCCTAGCAACAAAGATTGTTGTCCTGAGAGGTCCAGCATGAAATGTTATTCCTCCTTATTATGGCTCAATTGTGTCAGGACTTCCTGTCATCAAGGAGTGATCATGGAGACTCCTGAGACCTCACGAGGCTTAAGAGTCTTTTCCATTGAATAACCAAGTTGCTCTGGCCAGAACAGAGGTTCTTTGTGAGCTGACAAGCAAGGAAGATGACATAAAAGATGAAAAAAAGTGACATTCAGCATTGGAACAGAAGTCCCTCGCTGTTACCTCATCCTGAAAATGAGGATTTCTTTCAGTTCTTAAGATCTTTCAGGGAATGTTGCACTTCTGTAATGAGCAGAAAGGTCTGACTCCTCTCTGAGGTAGTTGCCAGTCATTTCGGTAATTCACAGTGGATTTAGCCAGATGACTGAATATTCTTTTGGAGAAGATAGTGGATTTTTTTTTTTTCACGGATGTGTATATGTTTGGCAGTAGCTGTGAGGGATCCTGCTAGATTTCTCTCAGAGGTTGCTCTGTTGGCATGCTCTCAGTTGGCATGCTTTGTCAGGAAGAAAAAAATTTGGTTTCCCAGAAACTGGAGTTCTTACATTCTCATCCATTGTGTCCTACGTAGCCATAGAAGGCAACTTGTGTTTCTAGTTGCCAATCTGGTGATTAAAACAGAAGATACTGTGATAGTTTAACTATACACTGCTCTCTCCACCCTAAGTTCCTCTCTGCAGCTACCAGATACTTTTTGTGGCATATGCACAGAAATTTCTCCAGAACTAAACTGAATCTCTCTGTTCTCTGGGAGACCTTTGGGGTGCACTGCAGTGGGCCCAACTAGAGCTAAGGGCAGCCTGCAAGGTGGAGCTGGAACAAGCATTGCCATCCTAATGGGAAGGTTTTGTTGGCTGTAAAGCTTAGCATCCCTCAGGAATTCAGGTTTTAGAAAATTTGCCTTTATGTAAGAACTTTATTGAAATAAAATTTATCAAGTCCTCACTTCTTAAAGATTTCTGTACAATTTTTAGATCATTCTATATTGTATCTACTGTCCCTCAAGAAATATAATATTGTAGCTCTGTACCAAAGCCGAGCCTTAGACCAGACTTCTGTGCAGAGCAGTAACACACTCAGACTACAGCTGTTAATGTCTCTTACCTGGAGCTACAACTTCACTGTAACAAATGCTGCAGGACTGGTGCCACAGCCCAGGGGCTCAGCAACTTCAGACCATGGGACTGGCACTGAGAAACCCGCTGTCCTGAGGGCTGGGGGGGTCCATCTCTCAGAGAAGGGCAAGACTATCTTTGGCCATAGGCTTGTTCATCTGGTGAGGAGGGCTTTAAACTAAAGTTGCCAGGGGAGGGGAACCTCAGTCCATCTCATTCTCACCAGTGTGATGCCAGCACCTGCAAGAAACACCCAGAGCCTGGAAAGGGATCACAGGTCAGCAGGTGAGCACCTGATGACTGGAATGTTGAAAGGGAAGGATATAGACCCTTTAGGAAGAACAGGCAGGGGAGATGAGGAGGGATATCACTCCCTGTATCAATGGCCAGCTGAAGTGTAGGGAGCTCTGCTTGAGGATAGACCAAGAGCTGACGAAGAGCTTTTGGGTCAGGATTAAAGGGAGAATAGAGACAGGTGACATTATAGTGGAGGTCTGCTACAGACCACCCAACCAGGAAGACTGAGCAGTCTTGCATTCACAGACCCTGCTCCACATGGGGGTCTCCAACCAGATATTTGCTGGAGGGACAACACAGCAAGGTATAAGCAATCCAGGAGGTTCCTGGAATGTGTTGATGAAAGTGTCCTCTAAGTGATAGAGGAACAAGCAAGGAGAGGTGCTATGCTAGACCTTCTTTTCACAAACAAAGAGGGGCTGGTGGGGAATGTGAATCTCAAGAGCAGCTTTGGCTGCAGTGACTGTGTAATGGAGTTTAAAATCCTCAGGACAATGAGAAGGGTGCTCAGCAAGCTCAATACCTGGGACTTCAGAACGGCAGACTTTGGCCTCTCCAGGGATCTGCTTTGTAGAGTACCATGGGGTAAAGCCCTGGAGGGAAGAGAGGCCCAAGAGATCTGGTTTATATTCTAGAATCACCTCTTCCACACTCAGGAATGATGTATCCCAACAGAGAGGAAGTAAAATGAAAACTCCAGGAGGCCTGTATAGAGGAATAAGGAGTTCCTGGACAAAATCAAAAACAAAAAGGAAGCCTATAGAGGGTAGAAGCAAGGACAGGTAACCTGTCCTAAAGAAACTGTCCAAGCAGCCAGGGAAAGAAGGCTAAAGCCCTGGTTGAATTAAGTCTGCCAGGAACATCAAGGGCAACAGGATCTGCATATTTTAAAGTACTGATGCCAGCAGAATGCAAGACATCACAAAGTATCAGTATTATTAGCCAATGTGGGTAGAATTTAGTTAATAGATTAGGATACCTACATATAGGTCTTGACACATGAGTAGCAGAGTTTGGAAATGTTCTTGTGATCAGCCAATAGTTTAGTTTGTTGTCCACATGTAGCTAAGGTGACTGGGGCAGTCTGTCTGGCCTCTTGCTGCTGTTCCTAAGCAACTCAGATTTCCCACCCATGTCTCATCTGCACTAGCTCCCCACAGATGTCCTTCTGTTTCAAGTGCAAGTAGATGGCTGGCTGTGTGGACAAGTGGATTCAGCCTTATTTTCCTATTCTAGGTAAACTTAACACTTTCTAAACTTCACTGACCAGATCATAGTTGACTGTAATGAGACACATTTAACACTTAAATTCTATCATTATACATTGGAACAGGATTCTTCCATTTTAGTAGAGGTGTTGTAGATTTTAAGAGATAGGGGCAAGGGAACCAGGTTTTTACTTAAGAATAGGCTTAAAGGGCTGAGCCACAAACCTATACCAGAGGGTACAGCCTCTTTGAGGTTGAGCCCTTTCCTCCCTGACTTTATCCATTTCAGGATTTAGAGCTTCATTCTTTTATCACACCTGAGAGGTCATAAGCCTCTGCCTGTCCCACATGAGCAGCAAGTTTGCACTGGCTTTTAGGGGTGGGCACAGAACCTGTCCTTGGGCCACCTCATCTGTGCTGGAGCACAGGAGCCCTGCAGGTCCAGGTGTTCCCCCTCCATGGAGAGTCAGAAGGGGCAGAGACGGGGAAGAGACATGGCAGACTCAAGGCAGGATGGCATAGGTGAGCGCACAAGGTTGTTACTCTGGCAATACCTACAGCCAGTACATTTAGCATTTTGAGGAACACAGACACATACAATCCCAGTTCTACACTGATATAGGATGGTATCAGTATATCGTGACCAGTAAATTGTACTGCAGCACTTGGTCTGAAAACAAATAAATGATAGTGAATACCTTCCTTTCTCTTCTGGGCAGGTGTTATTCCACGGCTATGTAAAGTTGCTCCTGCTTGTGCCATAATGATCAGCACATACGAATATGGAAAATCTTTCTTTTCTCATTTAAATGAAAAAATGAATCAGCGTCCTTAATTCTCCTTCATCCAACTGTATGAAGTCAAAGCATATGGTGAAAGTTGTGCCAAATTATTATCTGTGAAGATGTTTTCTAGAATTCCCAGCGAATTTCTACCATTACATTTGGTAACTAAATATAACTTCATTTTTAACTGTTTCATGAAGGATAAATTAACTTTTTTTATTAAGACTAAGAAAATACACATCACCCTTAAACTACCATTGAAGATTTTGTGCCTTCTCTTGCAGCTGAAGAGGAAAAAGAAAGGAAGGAGGAGAAAAAAATATAATCGAGCCTGGATAGAGCAATGAAGAATAACGACTGCCACCGTGTTAAATTTTTAGTCTGATGAAACAGTTTTGTTGGATATTTAAAATTATTGTTTTAAAACATTTTGGGCTTCCAGTTGTATGATATATTTATTTCTCAATAAGGAGGTTGATACAGAATGAATTCAATAAATGCTTATTTATTCTTGCTGCTTGATACATGCTTCATTCTGAGCATGTTTGTTATTTGTGTAAGTGCACATTATAAAACAGCTTCTCTTCGTGTTTATTTTAAATGAAAAATTCCCTACGTCAAAGTGGAAAAAACACTCATGCTCATTAGAAACCAAGAGAGCATGGTGAATACAGTGATAGGGAATGCAGTGGCTTTTGTTTAAGGCAATACTCTTAAAAATTTAAAGCACATCCAGGCATTGAAGACAATGGCCTGTACAGGTGCTCTGGAGGAACACTCCCTCACCTGTTTTTGGGAGGTGGAAGTTGTCACAACACTCCTGGGCAGGGCCAAGCCACACAGTTTGTATGGGAGGACCTGTCTTGGAAGGGCGGGTGTGCTGGCACAGACAGGTGGTTCCACACCTGTTTGACTCAGCTGTGGGTCTCTCTGAAGGAAAGAGCGTATTTAGTTTGCTGCTGTCGAAGCAGTCCCTGTCTGCCACATTGTGCTGCACACTCCTGGTATGAGCAGCTGCAGCTCCTCACTTGCCTGTAGGCACTTCAGTTACTGAATCAGAGCTTCCTCTGTATGACTTTTTTTAAATTATTTTTTAACTACCTTCACACTACCTCCCTTTTTTCATGCATTGTCAATGAAGGGGTTGGATTTTACTTTTTTGGGTATTCTAACAAAAAATTGTGTTGATGCTAAAGCAACTCAGTATTCAGGTCATTAAGACACTGACATTTGGGTGTGCTTTACCCAAGAAATGGACTTCAGTCCTATCCTACTAAGATACCCCAGCATGTGTTTGCTCTTGGTGAAAATTCATTACACGTTGAAAAATTCTGCAGTTGCAAAGACATTAGGTACCATGTTACAGCATATGGTGCAGGCAAGAGGTGCTGCCAGAGGAAATAACACTCTTCTCCCACTGTGACTTTTGAACGTAAATTGACAAAATAAGGCCTAAGAGAAAATAATAACAGATTTTGGATGACACTGAATGACTTCCAGCAACAAAACCAGACTCTCCCCCTTTTGCAAGAAAAGAATTTGCTATAAGCTCAGTAATACTGTAATTTACTGAATGGTCTTATTTTATCCTGAGTGATTAAAACGAAGACAAAACCTTGTAACTTGTGATGATACAAAATGTTTAATTTACATGCAACATTTATGGAACATCAAGGCAACAAAACATACAGTTTTGGCATTTTAATTTTTTTTTAAATGATTAATGTTTAGAACTGAGAAAGACGCACATAACTGATTTCCCATGCACAAACCCTAAAAATTCAGTGATGTCTGACCACATAAAAGACTTCAGCTGAATGACACATGAATTTCACATTAGTAGCTCCAAGAAAAGAGCCATCAGTGAACATGACTGAAGATCATGATTATAGCCCCCTCCAAAATACTGATGTAGAGTGAGAAGTGTTTAACAGCAAACAAGACCTGTTAAATCACTGTACCTTGATGTAGAATGTTAACTTGTGGAATCCAGATTCCCCCATTTTATTTGTAGTAAAAATGCATCTCTAGTTTACAAATTCATGCTTAATAATGTTACTCAACTGTCATGAAAGAACATGTGGTTAATGTGATAGCAAAAAAACTTTATATGAAGTAATGGGTATTCTGACAGTGCATGAAAGGATTTAACGGTCAGTTTATTACAGAGAAATTAATTGGGTGGGCAGCTTGAAAGACAAGATCTGGTGGATTTTGCTAAAATGCTTTAAAATTCTGCATTAAAACAGCATCAGTAGTTGTGTACCCTGCCCTGGATGCAGTGACCTCTAGCAGCATGGACTAGAGAGTTGAGGATATGTATTTCGAACCTCCTCCAGCTAAATCTAACAGTGCCATGAGTTCCAGAGGTGCAGAGCCTCATAATTTACAAAGGTTACATTCCCTGTAGTTTCAGTAAAGGTAAGAATGAATCCTGTTTCTTTCAAGCTCATCCTATGATAACCAGTTTATAGCAGTAGTGCCAAGGTACCGTCACAAGAGGCAAATCAACTAAAACTGTACAGAAGGTAGTGACATACTGTAAACACCTAAGAGTAAGCAGTAATTAAAAATCTGTCCTGTATTGCAGCTACTCATGTAAACAATTTATGAAACTTCTTTGGCACAAAAAAGCATTTTCCCTAGCGCTTATAAATACAACATACTTACATGCATTTAACTTTTGTTTAAAAAGTTACTAATCATAGTGATAAGCATTACCTTGATTAGCAAAATTCATAGATAAGATCATATCTTACAAAGAATTAAGAATACAGTTTGCAATTCAAAAATTAGGTTGCAAACTTTGAAACTGTAGGGTGATCTGGAAAGTTAGTTACATTTAAAAAATGTCTCTTTTTTTACTATCAGTAATTTAAATCAATGGCAAGTAATTTCAGAAAACTGACTTGAGAAGTTCTACTGTATTATCTTTCCAAGAAAAATACCTATTGTACTACTACAGGGTTGAGAAAAGTCTTTAACATGGAAATACAGTCATTACATTGTCTTTGTTTCCTCTTTTTCACTCTCCTTGGGATCTTGCCAATAAACACAGAATCCAAACTTCCCAAGGTGCTAACCCCACCATCCTTGGTCTCCATCTTTCCAGCAAGAAATTTCTCATATAACGTTAGATTATCTGTAACTCAGGTAAATCAAAAGCATTTAGTGAGTTTCCTCACCATTTGAAAATTGTAAGTATGCTTGATTTATATGATCAAGTTACATCTGTTATTCACATGCAACCTCAAGAGTTTTTTCAAGAGTGTTTCAGTGTGATTCTTCAGTGAGATTTGGACATCTAAGTGCCATGATACTAACAGGAATGCAAAACCTAACACTGAGTCAATTTGAGAAAAGCTGTTGATAGCTTAAATATGCTATTTGAGGTCCTACACAATATACACAGATGAAAAAGCTGGAATTTTAGGTAAAGTATTTATTTGCCTATAAAGACTGGCATTAATGATTCCCTGTCTATTCTGCAAGAGTTGATACATATTTAAAGCACTGCAGAAAAGTACAGTGGCTAAAGCAGGGCCAGGCCAGTGCAAGGAGAAACAAAGCTGATGACAATTTAGTAGGGGACTGATTTCCGACTTTCATTTTAAAAATCATTCATAAGCATCGGATTTTACATTCTGTACCTGACCAAGAGCTTTAAATAAATCCAGATTAAAATAGAAAATCCGAAAAGTCCTCCAGGAGAAAAAAAAGGTGAATCAAAATGGACAAAGTTTGTAAATTACAGAGGTAACCAGGAAAAGAAAAAATAAAGCAGCATATTTTTTAACTCAGAACTAGCAGTCTTCATTGCAAGTCATTTTATGGAACATAAACCAAATGCGTACAGCACAAAGCTCTTCCTTCTTATGTGTATCTCAAGATGGTGTTAAGCCTGGACTTGTCATCTCTGTTGTGGGACTTGCAAGGTATTCACTTGATTTCAGACTTGTGAGAGACTTGTAGCTTGCTACTGATGTAAGGGAACCACAAAGACCAAGCAAGGATGGAGTGTCTTCCTTCCCTGTTAAGAAAAACAAGAACTAAGCTAATAATTTTTACAGCACAAGATAAGAGAAAATAAAGAGAGAGCAGAAGAGGCAGTTTCATCTACACTATTATGAGTTACACAGTCCTGCTTCAGCACAGGCATGCTTCATAAGTGCCATTGGGAAGACATGTAATTTATGCCACACCTTCCGTGTCCTGGTGGTACAGAGATCCCCACCTTGCACTACAGGCTGGGCTGTAGTCAGTCTCCTGCAGAGGCAGATCGAGACTCCACAGTGAAGTGCAGTTACTAATTCCAGCAGCAGTTCATTGTATATAAATTGTCCACTGTGTGTAAATGGAAGGCCATTGTATATAAAGCCCGTTGTGTATAAATGCAAGTGACATTACTAATACAATGTCAGTACCAAAGATCTAATTTTAAATCCCCCAGAGAGGAGCAGAATTAACTGGAATCTGGATCTGTTTCTATCAAAATAAGCCCGTTCTGTTTTTTAAACCTTAGTAATTTGAAATGCATTAGGTTCCAACCACTGGAAAAAGCCACACAGTGCAGGAGTAGGAGTGCAAACATCTACCCCGTCATCTACAGCTGACAGCTAACATGAAACATGCCCATATGAAAGTGCACTGGACAATTTCTCTGTTTATTTTTTGTCTTCCCTTCTCAGAATACCTGTTCAACTTATTTTGTGCCAACTCTGCTAATAAATTACATTACAAAGAATTTGATCTAAGTATTTCATCCTACTGGCTCACCTATAGAATAGGAAAATCACCCTAAACTAGAAATTAAAATGACTTCAAAAAGTCACAGGCAAAAGATTTTATTGATAGGCCGGCCTACCCAAATTTCTTCAAATCACACCTATAAAGTAGCATTTCTTAAAATGGCATCACATGTTCATGACGGAAAAGGTTTGTTCTCATGAGAAGGATAAGAAGTAAGAAAAAACCCCAAAAACCCCAAACAATGCCCTGGGCAATAATTCATTATGAAAAAAAAAATAAAGTGGCATGTAGTTCTCTTTCATCACTATGGTTCTTATCAGCAGTTTCCAGTAGATTGTAGGTCTCACCTCTACTGAGCTTTTTTCAAGTGACTTTCCTAAAGAATGAACTAGATTAGCTCTTTTCAAAGGTGTTCACTTTTAGAAAAATCTTTATTACCATAAAAACTACCTTATAAAGACTACATTCAGAAGGAAGACACAAAATACACAGAGCAGTGCAACATCATTTGGGCACAGCCCTCCATTTCAACTACTGTGAAGAGAAAAATCTGACTACTTGAGTGGGCTTAAGAGTAGTGTGAAAATTTAGTACTTCTAATCATTTAGTTAAAAATGCCATATCGAGAGTTGGACCAAAGATACCATAGCAGGATCACTGTGTCTTACCAAACTACATTAAAACTTAAGTGCTAATGAACCTCACTGATTTAGAAACTAGATGGTATACTACCTTTAGACAGTGCTGAAATCAAAACCTAAACTACTATTACCACTGGTTTTGTCACATTTTAATTTTCAAAAGATGTGACAAAGCATAGCTTCAAACAACATTACAAAAAACCAGTTGAAAGTAGATCTGCACAAGAACTCTTTATAATAGCCATGTTTATTCTGTTTCACTTTCTCTAACTTGAATTAAATTAGATTTTAAGACTGCTGACAGTGGTTTTAAAAAAATTCTACATTTTTCATCCTTGATATTTTAAACCCAAGAAAGTTTAGCAGTTATGTAATACTAAGGCTCTGTATTGTCAAGTCCATTTAAAGCTTTGATGATATACAAAAAGGATTTTTTATATTAATTTATGCTCTATGCCCAAAATACTACTATTTCATAAGTCTTCCAGCATTTTTCTGCTTTTACAATGGCCCACAAGGTGGAGCAGCTAAGCTTTAATAAACATACAGGTTTTGAAAGGAAATGTGTATGTGTATTACATTTATATACACAGTTCATATCATGTTCCTCTCTCTATTTCAATGGAAACACTGTCAGGCTGCATCTTCACAGATAAATGTTAAATGCAAGATGTAAGAATGACAGTGGTAGTTGCAAATCCAGTTGCCTTTAATCTTTCTTTTAAGAACCAAAATTATAGAGTTTATTACACAGAAAGATGTCAGAAGATCCTCCTTGTAGCAGAGCTGACTGGTTCTGTGATGGAAAAAGAAGATATGCAACATGTTTGAAGCTTAGCTTTAAACACAGCACAAAGTCTTATACTTACTGGGGGAGTGGGAAGGGTATCTTCATAAATCCAAAATTATTTGAAGCAGAGTCCTTGGGGGTTTCCCCAGGAACTCTGGAACACTTTGCATAACAATGAAAATATGCTTTTCAATGTATATTTTCTTCACACTCAAAGTTCATCTCACAGGGACTGAAGTTCAGAGCTATGAAGAACAAAATTAAAGGAAGCCACTAGACTGGCTCTGTACCTTCATTTAACATGTTCATTCCATCCTGCTTCCCATCCTGTGAGTGACCTGGATCCAGAGAAGATTGAGAAAGACTAACTTCTGCTGAAAGCTGATCCAGACTTTGAAAACTTTTCCTGCAAAGCAATCAATATGCAATAGCAACAGATTTAAAGATAAAGTTAGATATTTTTAACTCTTAAAACATTTTCTAGAAAAATCTAGGCAGTTAACATTTCTTCTCTTAAAACACTTTTTAATTTGTTTGTTTCCTAAATCAGTTTTTTCCTAAAGCAATAGTTTACTTTTCTCTTTTTTTTTTTTTAATTAATCCAAATGAAGGAAATTTTTATGGTAAGCAAGAGAAACTGTTTTTATTTACCAGCTGATCATTGTACATTGTAACAGACAACTCTGACAGGATGTTTCAGAGTATGCTGAGGGAAATACATAATTTTTAGTTTCCCCGTTCCTCTAAAAGGGAATTGAAATAAACATTAAACTTACTCATCCCATTGTTGATTGTGCTTTCTATAAAGTAGAGTGTCCAAGGCAACAGCATTGACATCCAGAGCTCCTGGGGAAGGCCACTGATTGGTGAGGTGAGTAGTTAATTCTTGTCTTGATCTCAAGTCATTATTCTTTAGCACAGTTCTGTGAATACAACAAACAGTAAACCCCAGTCTATTAAAGGCAATTCCTTAAGGTACAGAAAGAAAAACCAGGACAAATAGTCCTGACAAAGTTGAACACAGAAGTCCCCCCAAGCCTCCTCTCAACAAACCCAGCTTCCTCAGCTGTTCCTCATAAGAACATATTTTCTAGACTCTTCACGAGCCTTCTTGCCTTCCTCTGGACACGCTCCAGCACCTCAACATCCTTTTGAAAAGTGAGGGGCCCAAAACTGAATGCAGTGCTTGAGGCGCGGCCTCACCAGCGCCAAGTACAGCACAATCACTTCTCTAGTCCTACTGGCCACACTATTCCTGACACAGGCCAGGATGCCACTGGCCTTTTTGGCCACCTGGGCACACTGCTGGCTCATACTGAGGCAGCTGTGGACCAACACCCCAAAGTCCCTTTCTGCTGAACAGCTCTCAAGCCATTTCTCCCTGAGCCTGTAGTGCCCATAGGGTTGTCGTGACCCAAGTGCAGACCCGGCACTTGGTCTTGTTGAACCTTCATGCAGTTGTCCTTAGTCCATGGACTGAGTCTGTCCAGATGCCTCTGCAGAACCTCTCTACCCTTGAGCAGATCTACACTCCCACACAACTTAATGTCATCTGCAAATTTACTGAGGGTGCACTCAATGCCCATGTTCGGATCATCAATAAAGATGTTAAACAGGACTGGCCCCAAAGCTGAGCCCTGGGGAAAACTGAGCTAGCAACCGGCCAGATGTTCTACTTTGAGGGACAAACAGACTGCAATTTTCATAAAGCACCTTAAACTGTTCATTTTTCTTAGGGGAAGCAATTTAGAAACCTATTGAGACATATTTCTGCACAGAAAAGAGTTGAAATTAGAATCCTTCTGCAAAAGCAATAAACAAAAAGCAATCATAGGCAAATGATTCTTTCTGCCAGCATAATGGTAATTAACAGCCCAACTATTCTGCAAACCCACTATGGGAAAGTGATGTTGTCACGGCCCAGTCCCCAGGGTTTTTTTGTAGTTTGAACACCTCCCACTGCCCCCTTCAATACTTGTGAATGAATGAACTGAAACTCAATTGTGTTAATTCCATTATATCCTTCCAGGCAAAATATAATACATAGTTATTCTGTTTTCTACCACCCTACAGTTTCTACTAACTTATGTCTATAATTGACAGAAAAAGTATACACCTTACATGTTCAAATTAGTTTTGCCTCATATTCCCATAAAGCAAATCAGTTTTCTAAAATTCTGAAAATGAGGAAGCTAAAATGCCAGCATTGGAAATCACCTGCCAAGTCATCCAGAAATAAGGAAAGTATGTAGTTCTTCAGGCTCCAAGAGAGGATCAGCCCTTTTTCAATAATAAAAAGCAATGTCCCGCCTACCCTTATACCGCTGTAGAATTACTAGAAACAAAAGTAATAGTGCTTGTTAACCCATAAATTCTCCAATCCACAAAATACTAGACAATCGTAAAATGCTGCTCTACAACAAGTTTGACTATCTCTGGCCTGAAGCAAAAAGCTAATGTTATGCATCTCCATACCAAATGTACTCAAAAGTTCAAAGCCAAATGCCATGTTATCTGAAATGCCAAACTGCACAGCAAATTAAGTAACTATTCATGGCACACATACATTTATGTGAATTCTCAAATAACATTGTCAACAGGACTATTTTTACAACGCAGTTGGTAATCTGGTGCTTTCTGAACTGTTTAGACAGGAACCTCAATAAGGGCGCATAAGACAGCCCAAAGAGCCAAAATTTCTCACAAAGCAAAGTAAGACAATAGTGAGCTCAGTAAAGAATTTTTAGCAGCTGAGTTTGAGAACACAGTCAGATGCACAGTAATATTGCACAGGAAGGGGGTAAAGTACCACAGTGAATAAAACTAGTTTCGAGAAACTTATTTCAAGATGACTAATTCCCCCAGCATTCATAGAAGCAAACAATCAACTTTTCTACCCAGGGGTCTCCCTCCTCCCCTCCTCTCTCTAAGGGGTTTGTAGGAATAAGCTCTTTGCTAACCCAAAGCTCTCAATAATTTCAAGTATCTTGTATGGTATTCCCTTCCCCAAGTAATTACCCTAATTCCATGGGGTACACTGAGCATTAAACAGGTCTGTTACACGTTTGCTGATTTAAGGGAACTGAAACAGAGAGATAGCAAGTTCTCATGAGGCTTGCCAGGTACACTGAAACACCTCCTTACTTGGAAGGACAGCTTGCATGCTTTCATACAAGTTTTGTAACAGGACACAATTTATTATGAGTCACTATGCCCACAATGCCTAAATGCAAATTCACACACATATAACACATACGTGCAAATTCCCATTTGGGAAACTCCTGTGTGTTATCACCACACAACACATATTTACAGGCAAGTTGCTAATAGTGGAATTTTTGCATTCTACCTGGGTTTCTATGTTGAGGCTTTCCCCATAAATCTTTATACTATAGTAACCTGAAATTTCACCCTTTCTGTATGAACAAAGAAATTCTGAAGACTCACCAAATTGCTCCAGCGATTTTAGCATAACAAGATTAAAAGATATAGTTCCAGCAGATCACTTCTTAAACCACTCCACCATGTTCCGGAAGAAAACTAGGCATCAAGTAGGATACAGAACTAACTATTCTCCTCCTAAAACTTTCATTTTGAATTTTTAAAAGGTATGTAAAAATATATTTGAATATATAAAATCAGTCCAAACACAGTAACTAATATATGTAAATAAGTAGTATAGACATTAGAGAGTTAGACAAAATATTTACAGCAGGTGTTATTAGTTACCACCTATTTTTTCAGCTTTCAAGATTATTTAGCTCTTTGCTCTTTTGCAGTCATTTTTCAATTATCATGAGATTCTGCTGCAGCAGAGTCATTATAAAGGCACTGCCTGCAAACAGCAATTCTCTCAAGATAATACGCAAAACCTGGTTCTGCCTCTGTTTAACCAGACTTACTTGAAGAGTCAAAGTGTGAAACTGCACAGAATCATAGAACCATTTAGGTTAGAAAAGACCTTTAAGATCACTGAAGCATACAAGATTTAGAACATAAAATGTGAAGAAATGCTGCATAAGATCATCAAGTGCTGTCCTGCTCTTGTTCAGACAAGAGAAGCCCTTTCTAGATGTTAAGAGCTCTGAAAGGACTACAGTTTATTTTGTCCAAGGCAGACAATTTCCATAGTAACACTCTTGTTCCCCAGAATGCCAACATGGTAACCAGTGCTGGCCAGATCAGGGCAGGGTTTGAAGCAGGACTTTTCCTCATCACCAGGAGCGTAATGAAGACTGAGCTTCCCTCTAGATGTTAACAGTCAGGTGTTTAACCAAACAAACAATATTACTATTGAAACTTATTTATCTGCTTGTATAGTAAACTAAGTCTGGCATACAAAAGCTTTCAGAAGAAAATTACAGTCATGACAGAGCAAAGGTAAGAAATGAAGAAATGGTGGAGAAGTAGAAATGGCAAATAAATATTTGTGGAATTTACAAGTTTCCCAAAATATTCAAAAATGAAATCTAAAATCAGAAGAAGAAAGAAAGCAAGCAAGAAAGCAAGAAAGCAAGAAAGTAAGAAAGATAGAAAGATAAGAAAGCAAGAAAGCAAGAAAGCAAGAAAGCAAGAAAGCAAGAAAGAAAGAAAGCAAGAAAGAAAGAAAGCAAGAAAGAAAGAAAGAAAGAAAGAAAGAAAGAGAAAGAAAGAAAGCAAGAAAGAAAGCAAGAAAGGAAGAAAGCAAGAAAACGAGAAAGAAAGAAAGCAAGAAAGAAAGAAAGAAAGAAAGCAAGAAAGAAAGCAAGAAAGCAAGCAAGCAAGCAAGAAAGCAAGCAAGCAAGAAAGCAAGCAAGCAAGCAAGCAAGAAAGCAAGCAAGAAAGAAAGAAAGCAAGAAAGAAAGAAAGCAAGAAAGAAAGAAAGCAAGAAAGAAAGCAAGCAAGAAAGAAAGCAAGCAAGAAAGAAAGCAAGAAAGCAAACAAGCAAGAAAGAAAACAAGAAAGCAAGAAAGAGAAAGAAAGATAGATAGAAAGCAAGAAAGAAAGCAAGAAAGAAAGCAAGAAAGAAAGCAAGAAAGAAAGCAAGAAAGAAAGAAGAGTAACTGCTGAACTCTTTGGGCCTTAACTGTGAAATATTTTAAGTGTTACCAAAAGGTCACACAAATGTAATGCAATGCAATATATACTTCCGTATAAAGTGCTGGTCTGTAGCAACACACACTGAACTGGAATGGTCTATGTACACAAAGATTTTGTTCTACCACTTCTGTTTCTAAGAACGAGCCACTGGTAAGAAACACCAACTCAAATCCAGAATGACCTGAACACCTGTAGACCAAGACTCAAAGCCTAGATTTTACCAAGGATATTATTGCTTAACTTGTAACTTACATGGAACAAAATCCAATATACATCATAAGAATAACACTGAAGATCACAAGTATGTAGTTTTACTTTTAAATAAAATTCAATAAAATATTGTTCTCTTGGGTTTGTAGCTGTGAGAATTTAAACATGATGCAAGGTAAGGTTTGTAGCCAACATGTTAAGCCATTTAATACAAGAGTAAAAGCAAGGACACTGAAAAAAGAAGAGAAGTAAGAGAGACAAAAGGATTTACTAAAGAGAGAAGTTAAAAAATAAGGAAATACGATCAAGTCTGAGTGAAAACAAGCATATACAACAAGCTGTTAACTCCTTTTCTTCAGACTGGAAAAAAAACGGGCTAAAAGTAGTAATCTCAGGAAGGCAGTTGCTACATGGAGAATACAGTGGATCTGAATAAGAGATTGTATGATTGTGTTGTTTGAATGAAAGCAAGGCAGTAAGATGTGGTTGAATAGGGTATCCTGAACTAACATGGTGAGACTGAGGAGTGCAGAAAAATTTTGTGCAGAGTAGGAAGGATATGTAAGAACTTATTATGAAAGCAGAGGTGTTAAACTGATTTATGGTACATTCTCTTATCTAGGCATGAAAAAAT